GGTTTGTTGGACATGTCTTCTTGAAGCCAAACTGCTTCCAAATTATTGAAGTTATTTTTTGTGTTTTGTCAAATGAGGCTATTATATGTAGTGGTCACCTAGGGGTGAAATAAACAGTTCCACCTGTCTTTGACCTTAGTCTCAGAAGACCTCCTTCACAGAGACAGAACTCTGTTGAAGTTAGTCATAACAGGTTTTCTTAGACAGTAAAGAAAGAGACATTTTCTTCTTATTAATCAGATAATAAACATAATAATCTTCTTTTATTCATAATTTTATCAATGTATAATAAATAAAACACAAAAAGAATGTTATTAAAATGTTTTATTGTGCTTTGATGTAAATCACTGCTTGAACTTTAACCATGAAACCACAGTAATTGATTGTAGATTTTTAAGTTTACATATTTTACTTAACTAAACTTTGCATTATGGTTAAGCTTTATTTTGAAACATTTTATAGTTATTTTTATCTGAATCATTATAATGAATGTTTTATATGAAATAATTCATTTTTAAGTTTTCAGTAAATCATTCTTTTTGTTCTTTAAAGTGCCCTCAGCAGAGAGCAGGTCAGAACGAGCTGTACGACTGTGCAGACGTCAACAATTTTTAAAACAACACCTGGCAGTGCTTAATAAGCTTCCTCTCTTTTGAACTAACATCTCTAAACTAAGAGTCGGTCTGTTTATTTGAGTTGGAAAGCGAATGCTCTTGTGCTTCACGAAGACGCAGCTGACTCTCTGAGGAGAACCAGCCTGACTGTGAGGCTTACCCAGTGAGTCAAAGGGAACCTCTCAGCCTAGACCAGACCAACACTCGGTCTTGTCTATTTTGAGCTTACCAAAGTTACTCACAGAGAAACTTTTGTTTTGAAACTTCCGAGCGCAAGTTTTTTATTTTTGAGAAGGATACAGAAAAGTGCCTCGTCTCTGATCTTCCAGTGAAAACAGCCCAGAAGATGCTGAAGGAGTAACGTAAATAGCCTGGAAAGTGTCCGACTGGATGAGGTTCCGAGAAGTTCTTCACCAGTTGGACGATGTTGTGGAATAATTATGTCTGTATCACCTTGACACTGTCCACTGTTCATATCTTGTGATATCCTCTGGACGTCATCATCAAGTTGACCTATTTTCACGTATCAGGATGAGGCAGGTTATGATTGGTTGTTCATTATCACATGATGTTAGCTGACAGTATATCATTGCTTGGCAGCCAATAACGGGCGGGCCACATCCAACAGACTTCTTGATTGTTTTCTGTTTAATGTCTGTCCATAAATAAATGACTTTATGAACATACCCGCAAGACCATTTGTCTTTTTAACACCCTTTCGCCGTGTTTCTGCCCATCTTGCCGCGACAGACGATTTTTCCTCTGACTTGAGCCGTGGTGGTGAAACTAACCCCTGTTAAGGTAACTGAGCGTACCTGAGGTTTGGCTGAATCCATTGAGAGACGTATGCCCTTTCTGGTTAAAATCAACATTCTTTAAAGGATAAAATTAAAACTAACTAATCCTCTTCCTCCTCCTTTCTTTCCTCTTAAACCTGCCCTGCTAAAACTTAAGAAAAAGTGCCACAAACAAATGGTTTATTAACATCTAAACCTAAAAGTTTGTCGTTAAACTTTTTATAGGAAATTAATCTCACAATAAGCTGTACATTAGTGATTTAATTGATTCTGTAAATAAATAAATGATCACATTTATTTTAGACCAACTTAAACTCACTGAGTACGCTCATCTTATTGTGTGTTTTTTCATTCATTTTTTAATAAAGAAGATATTACCGAAAAGAAGAACCCGTGAATTTCCTTATACTTTTTATTATATTAAGGTGTAGTAGAAATCACTACACATATCTCACTCAGGTGTTGATGCGCTGAGAAATATTGTGAGATGATACATTTTTTTGATGGAATGGGACAGTCCTGGTCCACGTGTACTGTAAAGAATCATGTGATGGTCAAACAGTTGACCTGTGTTTCATTCTTTCAGGCTGACTTTATTTCAGCAGGCCAGGTGGCCATATTCTGAAGGACTTYAATAAAATCTAGACTCATACTTGCAAACTTGTCACTTTTTGACAAAATYTGCCAGTTTCAAAACAAAAGAGTTCCGTTACGTGAATCATCTACATGCGAAGAGTTTTTTTGGGGTGGGGGGTGGGGGGGAGCTGGCACAATTTTCCATTGACTTGTTTCAGAAACACAGTGGTTGTCTTCACTATAGAAGATCTTTGGTGGAATCAAGCTGGATGGTCTATCTTCACTGTGATTAGCGAAATGACTTGTGTTTAAGACAATGGGGTTTCTTTACCAGTGGGGGGTGAAGTTACCATAATAACTCTATGTTGGCTATAAATCAMAACTTTTTAGCTATCAGAACATGTCTGATTTTTTTTTCTGATTGCACAAATGAGTATTAAGTTACAGTAAATATAGGAGCTTGAAAAAATTATCATGAGACAGACCCAGCCACAGACTGGTTTCATAAATTAATGCTTTTTTTTGTCAAAGTTTGGGTAAATCTATTCATTGTTCAACCATTGAAAATGAAGTGRAACTCTTTTGTGTAGGGCAGAATGTGAATGTTGGTTGGGGAGGGGTTTTTCCTTTTTTGTGTACAGTATGTGTGTGGGTGTAGCTGGTTGTGGGGGTAATTTAAATGTCTAAAAAGTTCCAAGAAACCTGAGCAATTKAATCTTTAGTTKCCRAGGCTGTGTGTGAGGGTTGAAGTTGGATTCACTGCTTATTTTTCAAAAACATGATTTTAGCTCTGACTTTTCGTCATTAGYTCATGATGGAGAGCCACTAAGTAGAATGTTAAAACACTGTAAAGAATGTACCAAACAGAGTAAGGCAAGTTGTATATTTAGTTTTCGTGTTAGTAGATTTCTCAGGGTAGCCTGTTTTGTTATAAACTCATGATCACTGTGTAAAAAAATAAAATAAAACAATATTAAAGGGGCAATATCATGCATGTAAAATCAAATTTTTGAGTTTTATATCATGTTATAATGTTATACTCTCATAAAAAAACATGCCCAAAGCCTTGCTC